ATGTTGTTCACATTCAGCCCATGAACATACTAATTCGTCAAACATAAATTAATATAATCTACCGGTTTATGACCCCATTGATGTTGGAGTGGTACATCAATCGCACAGGGTTGACTATCGGTTTAATCACCACATCAACATTTGGCTTCTTCTCCTTAAATGGTAGTTTACTCTACTTTTTGACTGGCAACGTTGCTAACGTGAAATTGAAATCCCCCAGGTCACGTGGCAAGCCATTGGACTTCTTCCGTGGTGATTGCTTCAGCATCACACCTGCATAAATGACCAAAAAGAGTTGAGTACACAATTTAAGTACATGTCATATGTGCGTTGCATGTATTATGCAATGTAAGACATTCACAACGAAGCATAACGTCAACAAAATCGAAATCACATTGCTCCTTACTAACATGCACATCCAACCCAAACCAAGATTGCCACAACAACTGCACAATTACTCGTACATTACCTGTAACATATAGTTTTCAAACCCCACGACACTGTAATGCAATACCACTAATAAAAAACAAGGGAAACAAATGCACGTTCCTCTTCTCAACATACACTGTGCAACGCAAACAATCAATTCAAAAAAGGCAATTCCCCGTAGACATGTTACCAATTAATATGTTACCCAATTACGTATTGGACTCATGCAGGGTTAAAAGACCCAAGCAACTATTTTTGCATTCCAAAACAAAACAGGGCATGTACATGCAACTAATGAAACATAGACAACATCAATGATTCAGTCTCGCGCACACTACCCAAGACGTTCACTAACACTTATCCTCAACATATTAATTGGTTTACCATGTTCAATAACATCAGCACACAACAATGAACGCCTCGTACACATACCCATGAACAGTTTCAATGTTCTAATATAATCTCCTAATGAAAATTTAAACACATTTCGAAACAACACATCAGATATGTGAATCATTTTCCATATCCAAACCAATTATGTTTGCCCAAATGTCCTAATAGTACATGAGCACATCTACCAGGCTAATTTTCAATCAATTTCAACATTAATATAACCACACCACCAACATCACACTTGAACAAAAACCTGTTTCTCACACATACATAGTGACAACAAAACAATCTACTCAACGTAATACTCAGTCCACAAAATCTGACTTGGATTCGACATACAGTTCAATATGAACACAATACATCATCCCATGAAATTTGTGACCAACAAACCAATAACATTGCAAATCAAAACATGAAGATAACATGGTACATACCTTCATTTCTCATTGTCATGCTACAACGTCTCCAAACTTAACACCTTCACACTGTGGCTTCTGACAATGATGTTCACTCAACAACCAACCTTCACATATATACAATCTGATATAAATGTGAATGTTCCTTTCGTGCTTCACTAATGGTGTTCACAATGTTAGAAACGATGGCACATTAGGGAACATTGACATTAGGGTTCTCATAAATTAGGGTTTCACTGCTCTAATTTTTTTGGCCTTTCCACTTTGAAATTTACGTTTCCTTTCGAAATCACCCCGATGTTCCACATCGTCACATTGATACCCCAAATCTTTCCATCTCTGTAGCTTCACCATTGCCCAAGAAGGAAATAAGAACGAAACACCATAGGGAAAGGATGCCCCAATTTTGTCATTTCACATAGTGTGAAATACTAGAGTTGCCCACTAACGTTGTAACTCATGCACAATGTATATGCCCTCAGTGGTCAATTTCCCTATAATGGGACCTTTTAGTCTATAAGAAAACTTTTAGGACCAAACAATTCATAAGTTCACAATTTAGGATTTATTGATGCATTACCCATATATTAACTTTGATCAATATGATAATAGCACTCAAACATTTAATTTATAGAAATTAAAGCAAAGTAAATTTTCAAATGAAAGTATATGTCATTATTAATTAGGAAACGTTCAAAATACTTATAGAAAAATAAATTAATGCTTAATTTTTTAAATCCTTCTAAAATTGCTTATACAAAAATAATTGTTTTATTTTTTTTACAAGATTAGTATATCATTTGTTTTCAAATTTTTTTCATTCCTTTCAGTTAGTCATAGAGTCTTTTTTTCTTTTTCTTTTCCTTTTTTGAATTTGCTAATGAAAGCAAAATGAAAGAGACAAAAAAATCATAGAAAAATAAAATGAAGTGAAAGAAACTTTGATCTTTGGTTGGGTTAAGAAAATGAAAAAATGAATTAGATAATTGTAAAAAAATCCATTTTTATTTAGCATAAATATGGCACAAATGGTTTAATTGTCACATTTAAATTATATGCAATTATCTTAAATAGATGTAAATAAAATATAGAACTTAAAATAGTTTTTATTTTATTTTATTTATTTATTTATTTATTTATTTTAAAACTTTTTTCTCAACAAAACTTTTATTTATACACAATTGATCGAAAACACAAAATTTACAAATTTTTAGGTAGATTACGAAATTACCATTTAAGTAAAGTGTAAGTACACTGAATTCACTAATTGTAAATCGAACGATTCACTTAATTCAAGAAGTTCAATTCAAAAATAGTATGGCCAAATGAGAGCTGTTATTTATGTAATAGTCCGTATTTTACAAAAAGATTTATGTCAAAAACATCTCCCTATGGGCCTAGATAATGTTTGTAGATTTATATTTGTATTTGTGTATAGATTTATGTCTTATTTTGTAATTATAAAATATTTAAATTATTTATTTTTTCATGACTTCAAAGTAAAAACACATTGGTTTATAGTGTAGATTTGAATAGAGACAATGACATTGGATGGAACTAGATCCAAATGTTATACTATCTAATTTGTGTCCAATTGAACTAAGCCCAACTCTTAATTTATATTTTTAATTGTTAACCTAATTTTAATCTTATCTCTACATGTAATTCAATCATTTCATGCTATTTTGTAAATTACCACCCAAAAAAAAAAAAAAAATCCTTTTAAAATTAACTCTTTGATGATATTATTTATAACGAGTTAATTTAGTAAATGGAGGTAGATATCAATAACAACTTAGATTAAGACCTGATCCTTTTATACTCTTGGTAGTGAGTTGTAGCTATTTTGGATTGTGTTGACTTTTCCTTGAGTTTGTTTGTCACAAGGAGCCTTAGTTATGAACTCTTCTTGTTGGCAGTAGTGTGCTGAGTTTGTTGGATTGCCACTGTGAAGTTATTATCGCACCCGCAATGTGTTAGGTCAGCCTGTGATGGGCCGCAACCAAGCTGAGACCAAATATGGCCTTTAGGTCTTTTGGTTGGGGAGAAATGTGCATGGCCTGTGACATGCAGAGTCATACCTGCAAATGTTGTGGCCGCAACCACGACTGTGTCTCTCGCACCTGCAATGTGTTATCTGCGCTCGTGATGCATTTGTCTATAAATACCACCTAAAAGTTGGAAATATTTACTTTTTGATTCCTATCTTCTTCCTCATACCTCATATTGCTATTTTTGCTCATTTGAACTATAAAACCATGGTTTTAATCTAGTTCCACCAATTTCCTACCTCCTAGTACTTCAGGCTTTAAGGTAAAGTATGCTGAGGGCTACATTTTAATCTGAAAAGTTTGAATTTTCGTCTCCGTCGATTTTTGGGTGTTGCACTTCTCTTCCTCTTGCTTTGAGGTAGAAATTTCTTTAATGATTTGTATGTTATTTAGCCTTGTTATGTGTTATTTGGATAAATTAACGCTTAGGAAAATTAGGGTTTGATTAAAGTATGTTTTAGTGCATAAAGAGGGGTTTTCTTAAAAACCTTATTGGGTTGTTAATAATTATGATTGGTAAGGATATGTTTCTACCAAAAGACAAAACTACCCATTATTCAGTAACATGTATGCCTCCAAATCTCTTTCTACGTAGTCAATATATTATCTATTCAAATCTCATTCCCTCAAAATCCATCTTTTTCCTTTCTCTTTTTTTTCCCCTCTGTCTCATCAATCTCAGACCTGTACAAAGTTATCATCAACTATCTCAGATTTGTACAAAAGCCCCTTCTTCCTCTGACAATTGTCATATTCCCTATGTTTTCGGCCTAGACGTTGACGCTTATCTGCTGGTTCGACCTCTCCGTAGAGCTCTTCGGCGGTGTGAATGATACTTGTAGCCAAAACCTCGACTGACGCAATTCTCGCAAGGTGGCTGTTTGAGGCATTCGCTTGCTCAACACTACTGGTGTTGGTACCGGTGTCCTCTAACCTTTCCATGATGCTGAATGACTCATAGATCTCTCTCTTTTCTGTCTATCGTCGATGACGATGATGATATCAAGTTCGTCATCGTCGAGGTTTCAACAGTGCGAAATCTCCGCGAAATCTCGCGAATCTGAGTGAGACCATTGCTTGTTTCTTCAAATTTGATTTTAGATCTGATCGAAATCGAAGAAGAGTCAGGACATCAAGTCTGTGCTTCGCTAATTGCGCTAATAGCGGTAGTTGACTCTTTTTCAATTTTTTTGTCTATCTGCTTTATTTCTCATCCAAACTCTAAATATGTTTCTTTTAATTTATTTAGATTTGCACGTTTGAGGTCTAACTCTCAGATTCACTTTAAGAACTCGTCAATCTCACTCTCTTCCAGATTTGTTTCAACAGATTAGATCATAGTTGGTTTCAACAGATCGTTGTTGGTAAAAAATGAACATATAAGAAAAAAAATTAGGCATATAAAAATTGAACAAATAAATTTTGGATAGACAAAAGTTTGAATAGGTAGTCAAAGAATTTGAACAAATAGATATAAATTTGAATAGATAGACAAAAAATTTAAATAAATAATCAAAAAAGTAACAGATAAATTAATGAGTAAAATTAGAAACAAAATGCCATTTTTTAACTGAAAAACAAATATTTTTCAAAACAAATAAAAGAATTTTTCACCAAATTATTTAACAAAGTTGGATCTCTCATTGACAAAAAAAAAGAAAAAAATATCCACTAAGTCTTATTTATTTATTTATTATTATTTTTCCCCCCCTAAAACCCTAGTATATGCAATTCCCCCTTATCCAAAACCCATACTCTCTCGAAACAGGGTTCTAATGGCAGTGCTATCTCCTCCTTGTCCTCTGCAACTCTTTGTTCGATTCAGCTCTTTCCAACCCATTCATCTCTCTCCCTCCTTTCAATCTTTGCCACAACGCCAACAACGCTGCTCCTCGTATAGTACCAATGCAGCCACCAATTCAATTGCTTCTACCTCCAAAGCCTCTGCCACCACTGCTTCGCCTTCCTTCGCCACCAGAGAAGACCTTGACGCCGTCAACATCGCCGACGACGTCACCCAGGTTCCTCTCTCTCTTACTCTCCGCTGCAACCTTCTCTTCTTCCCACTGAAAAATTACTTGTTTTCTTCATTTGGGTAATTGTTGTTGTTATGCCATTTGAATATGTACTTGTTCAATCCCCCTTTTTGAATGTTTTAGTTTCTGATTTTCAGCTTCAAAAATTGAAATGGGTTTTTTGCAGGAATTATTTGTTTGTTATTTTTAGGTGGTTAAGTTAAAGAGAAAAGTGTATGGTGGTTTAATTCTTGTCTTTGTAACAAAGTTGGTGTTACTAAGGCCATATCCAACACTCAATACTTTTACTGAACTTGGGTGTAAAAAGCATAGGGTTATGCTAAATATTTATTTTATTCTTTATTTACAAAATTTCAATCTAAGACATTTTATCAATACTAACTAGTTATAAAAAAAAAATACTAACTATTTATAAAATTATCACATACTAACCTTAAGGTTCTTCTTTTCCATGCTCACCTTGCTTCATCTATTGCGAATACCTTTCAAACCTTTATCTGATTAGACAGAAAGTGTAATCTTTCATTCTCAGTGAATATTACTTTGCTTATCACTGCTCTTAAATTTTCAGAAAATTAGAAGATAGTGGACAAAGAGTATATGAACAAAGTTTAGAAGAAGCTTTAACATGAACTATTTCAAGATGAAAATAGATTCATATGGTAAAAATGAAATGATCCATTTTCCTGATAGAGGAGAATGTGAATCATTTGAAATTGAAGGACAATAATTTTCCTTGAATGATTGGAAAATGCCTAAAATTCCAATTAAGGAAATCTATCAAAATTCAATCTTCAAATGTCAAATGAATGTAGAAATCTTTGAAGGAAAAATTTTAGTTGGTAATACAGAAGAAACATCTATACGTGTATCATTGTTTGATATGAATAAAAGCAATCAATGTCGTAGTAAAAAATATAACTAGATTCATTTAGGATTCATACAAGATAGTAAATGTCCTCTATTTTTAGGCGAAAAAGATATTTCAGTATTAACTTCTGTTATGGATAATAAATTGTTTATCTTTGAAAAAGCCTTAATAGGAGGAATTCAAAGTAATTTGTATAATGGACTAATTTGGTTCACTATTAAACCAAATTATTTCTTGGCATTGGATGATCCTAATCTTAATTGGGTATTAGGATTGAAAATACAAACTCAAGATACGAGAGACCTTGACACTAAAAGCAAAAACATTGATATTAATAATAAGTTTATGTATAGAGTTATTTGAAAAACTGAGTGCTCATACTTGGAAATTTCAATCTAGGAAAGTTAATGTAAAGCAATTATCATGGCCTAAAAAATTGATTATTGGAGAAACTTCAAATTTCAAAAATCTCAAAAATTTAATAATTAGGGAAAAAAGATGAGTTGTTTATCTAGACAACCTAGGCAAACATCAGCAAGTGCTCTTCCTATTAGGTTTACTTCTGCAAGTAGCCTAGAAATAACAAAAAATAAAGATAAGGCTATAATAGACGAATCTAGTATACAAGAAAGTTCAGATGAAGAAATAATAGGATACAAAATAATAAGTATCCTTGTTACAAATAAATCTTCATCCAAAACATTGATAGAAGAACACTAAAACTTAAAAATGGTTTCTGTAGATGATCTATCTATTACTATAAATAAACAATTGCTAGAAAGATGATTATTAGGTAAGGAATTCCAAAGAGCAATAAAGATTTAAAGATAAGATCCAAGGTCTTGTGTTCGAATAACCCAAGGTGTCACTGAAAGTTTACCCGGTTGTTAACTTTAGGGCCTTAGATTAGTCGAGGTGCGTACAAGCTGGCTTGGACACCCAATTATAAATAATAATAAATATAAAAAAAAAAATTCAAAAATTAACTAAAGATAGGAGTAAAAAACCTCTAGAGACTTTAGGAAAAATTATAGAAGTTAGCCCTACAAATTCATATGTTGAATTTTATTCGACTTTTTGAGCTATCATTCTTACACTATTGATGCATTAGTTGACACTGGTGTTGGAGCATGTGTGAAGTTAGAGTCCTACATCAGATAAAGAGTAAAAAAAATGGGTCTTAATATACATTAGATGTGTTTTCCACTTATAGGCTTAAGCTTTCAAGTAGGCATGAGTTCTAAACAATGTATATTGGGCTCTAGTATTAGATATGTGGACTCAGAAGTTTCTCCTTGATGAATTGGGCCCGTGTTGCTATGCGCTTGGGGCTTCTCAATTTCCTAACAACTGGTATCAAAGCCAATGGATAGCGATCTATGGATGGGTTCTCTTGGAGCATCGACGTTGTTGGGTTTGGGCTTGCATAAAGACTCTTAATGGAGCTAGAAAAATCCATGATGACTCTTGATGGAGCGAAGAAAATTCTTGGTACACGTGGCAAGGTTGGACCACAACAAGATAGCTTTCTCAATGGAGTATGGTGGCTCATGATGGTGTATATGTAGGTGGTCTGGGTTGGAGTCGATGTTGAAGAGTTATAGATTAGGATTAAGGGGGAGTGCGTATGATCTATGATGAACTTATGGGTAATAGCTCAAGACTTGAGGGGGAGCAAGGAGAGGCCTGATGTTTGGTTCACACATGAAGGGGAGATTGTTGGAGCACGTGTGAAGGTAGAGTCCCACATTGGATAAAGAGTAAAAAAGATGGTTCTTAATATACATTAGATGGGCTCTCCACTTATAGGTTTAAGCTTTTAAGTGGGCATGAGTTCCAAACAATGTATATTGGGCCTTAGTGTTAGGTATGTGGACTTCGAAGTTTCTTCCTGACGAATTAGGTCCGTGTTGCTGTGTGCTTGGGGCTCCTCAATTTCCTAACAACTGGTGCTTCATATAGTTTGGCAAAACATGGAGTTTTACCTCTAGACAAATAGGATTTATCTGAAAATCCCATTGCATTAAAATTGATAAATGGTCAATCAGTAACCATGGAATATGAAAGCTATTATGTTCTTGTCATTCTTAATCAAAAAGAATTTTTCACGGAAACAATAATTCAAGGATAATACTGCATCCCCCCAAAGAAATCCCCAATGATGTGGACTAGCCACATCACCAAGGCAAAGCACATCCCCAATAATTTTTTTAGTTTTTTTAGTTTTCATATATTATAAAGTGACCCCTTTAGTTTTTATAAATTATAAAGTAACCCTAGTTTAAAAACTAAAGGGGTCACTTTATAATATATGAAAACTAAAGAATTTCTTATTGGTGATGCGGCATGTTCACATCATTTGGGGATTCTTTTTGGGGGATGAAGTATTATCCAAAAGCATAAACTCAAATTTGAAGAAAATTGCCAAGTGTCAAGTTCTGAGTGGATTCTAGGAGTTGGAATAAAGGAAAATTTGGATAAAAGCTCCTATTTGTCAAGTTTTGATTGGATAGAAATTTGAGCACAGGAAATGGGTGTCTCTTGAGTCAAATTTGAGTAAAACTCAATTTGCTATAGGTTTGAGTAAAGGAGTAGAGGGGATTTTGGTGGCTTTTTACTCAAATTTAAGTTTGAGTCAAGATTTGGGAGAGGGTTGAAGATGCCCTAAGAATCTGCAATATTAAATTTGGCATTCAATTGTTCTCCCCCAGCACTCCCTCTCTGTGCATATTTATGCATATATTATAGTGTATATGTATTATCAAAACAAGTTTTTGTGTATTCAAGTCTACTAATGAAGAAGTGAGAATGATGTCTGATACCTATGGCATTTTAGAGTCAATAACCAATAGGACATTTTTATAACTAGAGCAAAGCTTGAAATAGTAATCAACAAGCTGAAATTGGGCTTCAAAACATATATAACTAGCAGCAATTCTTGTTTCATAGTCACTATTTAGCCACAGTTAGGTTTTCAAAGTTAGCAAATGGGGCTGTTTTCATTAGTGCAATACTGTTACCTTGACTCTTCCCGGGGCTGCTACCACTTTAAAGTTGACTATTTATTGCTCTCTCTCTCTCTCTCTATATATATATATGTACATATATTTATCTTTTGAGTAATATGTGTTACTATTATTGTTATTGTTGCAAACAATAATATTTATTTCTGTTATTATCGTTATTACTGTCTTTGATGAACAATTTTGATAATTTTTTTGTAATGTAATGGTGTCATAAGGTTTGAATAGGCAACCACAATGGATGTTTTATGAAATTGTGTTGCTTTATGGGCCAAATATGGAGGAATATTAATTTAAAGCTAAATGCTACAAAAAACAACTATCTGATTAGAGACTCTTTGCTATCATTTCAGTGTGAAGGTGTTATAAATTCGTCATGCATTCTCAACAGTTTGAATGGTGTGTGTGAGTTCGAGTCACGGAAACAACCACTCTAGAAAAGAGAAGAGGGGGGGCGGGGGTGGGGGGTGTTGGTAAGGTTGTGTGCATCTTTCCCTCCGCAGACCTCTCTTTAGCAGAGCTTCGTGCATTAGGTCACCCTCTTTTTTATTCTCCACAATTTCATAATTTTTGTTATGACATAATAGAAGTGTTAATCAGTTATGAAGAAGTGACAAATAGTGTGGTTTAATTTTTTTTTTCTTTCATTGAAGTTAAGTAGTTTTGAAGGAGATATAATGAAGTTACTGTTACAATTTATCAATAAACCTACCACCACTACCACCTCACCTACTCCACTAAACCTAACCCACTACACCACTACCACCTCACCTACTCCACTAAACCTAACCCACTACACCTACATCTATATAAGGAACCATTTGTAATAGACAGTATAAATTTGTAATAGACAGTATAAATCAATTCATCAATCAATAATACATATATTTCTACATGGTATCAGAGCGAGGTTAAGAACCTGATCATTCTGCTTCATCGGCGGGGGGGGGGGGGGGCTTGGCCGTCCGCCGGACCTCTACACATACCCTGACTCCGCTGTAACTTCATCTTCCTCTCCTCACTATTGAAGAACTCTGCTATTAGCCTTCTTCTTTCTTTCTTCATCACACCAAAGAAATCTGCTTCTTTCTTTAGCTCCACATTGACTTCTATTCGCGCATGCAGAGCTACAAAGAAACGAACAACTACATTAGAGCACTTGATAAGCCTATGTTGACAGTACCGGTTACGAAGAAACCGACCAAGAACGGCCAGTTCCGACTCCATTCTCGCCGGAAGAAAATGGGCCACGGATCGAACTTCCTCATCTCTCTCATGTTCAGCAGCAAACTCATTTGCCCATCCATCTGGTCCATGAGAAAGCTTCTCATGCACAAACTGGTCAGCCCACGCATGACCTCCATCATGTTGCTGTTGATATTCACAGAGCAAAGTTTCGCTGATTGCGATAATGGCAGTGGTTGTAACTATCGTCTCTCTCATAGAAGGATCTCTCGCAGCCGAAGCTCCGGCGCTGAGCCCTGTCGCCGCCGCGGGCGCGGTCTCTCCTTCGCTCGCCGTCGGTTGCATCGTCACCTTCGCGGATGGAACTTGATGTTCAGAAGTTCTTACATAATTCTGAGCAGCATCAGTTTGAGTTCCAGCATTTCCCTACTTCCTACCTTCGTCTTGCAGCACACCATGTTGCTCAACACTATGGTTTGCAGACTATGGTTCAGGATAATGTCTTGGATGGTCTTGGTACTAGAATTGTGGTTAAAAAAAATTGGCAGAAAGCAGACCTATGCACATGGCCACACACTTTCCACACACTCCTGTTCCCACTCAACTTTCTTTTCTTTTTTTTATTTCTTTTCTTCCATCTTTTGAAAAGCAAAAGAGACACAACCTGATTTGCACTTTATTTATTTTTTTATTTTTTTATTTCTTTTCTTCCATCTTTTGAAAAGCAAAAGAGACACAACCTGATTTGCACCTCAATATTCTTACTTTTCCTTGTGGGCTTGTTCCCACCACACTATTATACTATATTCTATTATTATTATTATTATTTACACACAAAAAAAAAAAAAAAAAAAAAAAAAAAAAAACAAAAACCCAAAAAAAAAAAAAAAAAAATCCAAAGTTAAAAATAAAGTTTCAAAAATTAAAGGCTAAATTACAGTCTGTCCCTTTTATGTTTAGCTATTTTTTTATTTTGGTACTTAAATTTTTATTTTTTTTTTCATTTTGAGTGGTTGTTCATGTGGTATTTTCTGTTTAATTTTAAACCGAAATGAGTTTTGGGAGTAGACTAAAAAAAACCTTTATACATGAAGGGTAAAATATAAAAACTGTAATTTATCCAAAATTAAGTGTTGAAATGTTATTTGACATATGATTCAATATATTTAAAAAAAAACAAAAAAACAAAAAATAAGTAGTAAACTTCACAAATATTAACAACTAAAGTCTTAAACCTTTTTTTTTATTTATATAAATCTGTATTATTTTGTGGGAATTGGGGTAGGTGTTGTGCCTTATGGATCTGTTGGGGCATGTCATGAGCGTATTTTCATGATCTGAATCGTTCATATTATAAGATTAGTCAACTAATCATATATTAAAAAAATCGTATCAATTAGACATCTATAACCCTATAACAAACCACATTTGTTTAATGTTGACTCGTTGAGGTCGGGAAAGAGGGTGAGCAGTCCACGGGAAGACGAGGACGAGGCCATTTTCTGGGCAACAGCGTGTTACAGACTCTCTCTCTCAGCAAAACGCACTATCTCTCTCAGCAAAACGAAGAGTTTTTTTTCAGAGGTTTTTCTCAGTTTCTTGTCTCAGCCTCTGCCTCGGCCTCAGCCTTCGTCTTGGTTAAATAGCCGAGGTAGCCACGCGCCTTGCGCGCCACTTGACGCCAGCCGACCAACGAGCGCGCAAGCCAAGGCGCCCACGTGCCTCGCCATCATGTCCGGCACACCTTTTTATGGATTGGGCACGCCTTTTGATGGCACGCCTTTTGAAAGATTGGGCACACCTTTTGAGGGTGCGACTTTTTAAGGGTCCGACAAGACTCTGTAAACTGTCCCGACATTGATTCCGGTTAGCTCCTTCAAGGGTCCGACAAGACTCTGTAAACTGTCCCGACATTGATTCCGGTTAGTTTCTACAAGGGTCCAGCAAGTCCCCGTAAACTGTCTTCTACATCGGTCCGACATGACCCCATAAACTGTCTTCTACATCGGTCTGACACGACCACACAGTGTCTGCTACAACGGTCCGACATGACCCCATAAACTGTCTTCTACATCGGTCTGACACCGCCATCCAGTGTCCTCTACACCGTTATGACAACACCATACAATGTCCTCTACATGGTTATGACACCCCCATACAGTGTCCTTTACAACGTTATGACACCACCATCCAGTGTCTTCACCAATGGTCTGACACGACCATATAGTGTCTCTTATCCTCTTTTATTTTTATGTATTTTCTTGTTTTGTTCCTCTCTCCAAACTCAAGTTGGTTAGTTTCTATCCTCCTTGAGTTTGCGGGGGGCTGTTACAATTTATCAATAAACCTACCACCACTACCACCTCACCTACTCCACTAAACCTAACCCACTACACCACTACCACCTCACCTACTCCACTAAACCTAACCCACTACACCTACATCTATATAAGGAACCATTTGTAATAGACAGTATAAATCAATTCATCAATCAATAATACATATATTTCTACAGTTACAAACCAAACAAAGTGAAAAGAAAAAAAGAAGAAGAAAGATTGCGATATGATCTTTTCTCCACTTCCTGTTTTGGGTTAAGATCATCAAGATTTCCATATAGTTATAACAGTATTCATTATTATGAAATCTAATAGAAATTTAGAACAAGGTGGAGTTATCCACAGTTATTCAAATGGACAACTGAGACAAGAAAATTAGTTGCATTCTACCAAACTATAGTGTGAGACGTTTCATTTTGTAAGCTTATGTATATTTTTTCCCTGTATTCTTATTTCGTTTGGATATTTGGAAGTTGGTTACTGTTCTCTGGCCAAAATTTTGTTATCAGTGTATATTTTCTGTGCAACCATACATAGCCTGTGTCAATATTTTTTGATAGTGTGATTATGATGTTATTAGGAGTATGAGGGTTTCACCATGATGGTTTCCCTCTTTTCCATTGATGAAGGAACTTGCTTAACACCATACATTTTTGTGTTCTTGGTTGTGATTTTGTTTCCTTATTTTCAGCTTTATCATATGAACTGATGGTCTGTGCTCAGCATAAATCAATCTTAAATTTGTGACAAAAATATTTTATTAGTCATTGGTAATTTTAATTAATGGTTGGGCATGATTTTATTCTATGAGAATTTAGTGAAGGAGCAAACTGATCTTGATTTAGTTTTATAGAAACCATTAGTATTTGCTGCGGTTAAATGTGTCTAGCTACAGCATGGTTAGCTGTATATTTCTTTAGTTATCTGTTTTTATTCTGGGCAGTAGACTAGGATAATTAGTCTTCTTAAAGGAGTTCATTCTTTGGAGCTAAACTGAGTGCAGCGGGTTTGGATCTTCTGTGCAACAAGTATTTGGAGGAAGCTAGAATCATCTTCAGAAGCATTTATGCTCTCATTGAATTTCAGATTTATGTTTTTTTGGAGAATTGTTTTGTATTTTAATGTGCGTAAAATGATGGTTTACTTTTTTCTTTTTTAAGTTGTTATATGTTTCAAAACATTGACTGATGCGAGCAGATGTGACAAATTGATATAGTTGATTGGGCAAACACCGATGATATATCTCAACAAAGTTACAAAGGGCTGTGTGGCAAATATTGCTGCAAAACTTGAATCTATGGAGCCTTGCCGAAGTGTCAAGGATAGGTAACCTTTCACATTTTTGCTGAGTTTGTGCAAATTTCATATCCTTTAGTTGATTGGTAATAAATAAACCATCATACTATCAGGTTCATCTTATTAATTTGACTTTATGCACATGACTCATCACTTGGCAAGTAATGGATAAGCATAGCATACCTACATAAAACATAATTTCAATTCTTGATGTTTCATGCTTCCTGACTGGAGATACATTAGGATGCACTTGATGTTAACATTTTTCAAGTGATTGACTTTTCAGAATTGGTTATAGTATGATATCTGATGCAGAAGAAAGTGGTGCAATTTCTCCTGGGAAGGTTAGTATTGATCTTCTATTGCTCTAATATTAGAGGAATGCTTTGCACAAATCAAGTTAGATACTTACATGCTCATCATACAAAACCATTTTCTAGTTACTTGGGGTTAGCATTTAAAGCCTGATGAAAGGCACACCCTCTGCATCATAAAAATTATGCATATGTTTCTGTGTCATGTGCAGAGCATACTAGTTGAACCGACTAGTGGAAATACAGGACTTGGTATTGCTTTCGTTGCAGCAACCAAGGGATACAAAGTCATTGTCACCATGCCTGCATCCATCAATCTTGAAAGACGGGTTCTTCTTCGTGCATTTGGAGCAGAGATTGTTTTGACAGACCCAATGAAAGGAATAAAAGGGGCTGTTGATAAAGCTGAAGAAATTGTATTGAGCATGCCAAATGCATACATGTTTAAACAGTTTGACACTATTTCTAATGCAAAGGTCATTTCTGCTTCACATCTTTCAGAACTTCACTAGCTGCTCTCAGTTTCAAATGAATTATATATATAATATTTTTAAATAGAAGTTTAGTTCATTGAACTACAGGTCCACTTTGAAACCACAGGCCCAGAAATATGGGAGGATACCATGGGTAGCGTTGACATCTTTGTTGCGGGAATTGGAACTGGTGGAACTGTTACAGGCACTGGGCGCTATTTGAAAATGATGAACAAAGGTATCAAGGTAACAAACAAGCACTATATTACATATTTAATTATAAAATGAATTTCTACTTATGCCTAAATTGTGAATTTTGTTGATTAGATCTTCTCAGTTGTAGCCAATATCTTATTACAAATAATTCTGACAAGTTGAGAAAAAGGAGGCATTTGCCTATTATAGTGATGGTGTGATTTGATAGTTTCTATTTTTAACTGCAATCATCATTATTATAGTGATGGTGTGATTTGATAGTTTCTATTTTTAACTGCAATCATCATTAGGCTTTACGGGAACAACACATGATTTGGGATACAATGAATTTTTTTGAAATAAATCTACACTTTTTGAAAGTGAAGTATGGACATCATGCCAAACCAAACCAAACCAATCCAATTAGTCTAAGCCTTTTGTCCCAATCAAGTAGAGTATGCTACATAATTCTTTTTCGCCATTTTATTCTGTCAAGGGCTCTATGCTCAATTAAATGAAGTAAAAATTTTGATAATTTTTTACTATCACATATCATATCGATTTAGGTCTCTTCCTCCCCCTAACATTTTCGTTTACGGTGATCATATCACTTTTCCTAACCGTTGCATCTATAGGCTTTCGTGGTACATGACCAAACTATCTTTGGATGCTTTCACTCAATTTATCTTCAATTGGTGCTACTCCTATCATTTCTCTAATATATGAATTTTTAAGTACGTATTTTCTAGTCTTACGATACATCCATCTAAGCATTCTCATCTCAACTGGATTCATTTTATGAACATGTTCCTTAGTAGCCCAACATTCTGTCTCGTAAAGCATTGCTGGTCTTGTAGTTTTATAGAATTTTAATTTCAATTGTGTTGGTAAATGTTAAATCATATGATATGCCAGAACCACTCCTTCACATGAGCCACCTACTTTTCTAATCTCCAACATCTCAATCTTTATTAATCATTGAACTACGAAATGTTCACTATTTGTTATCTCCTAATCTCAATTTTTAATTCTCCTTCTATTGTTACTAAAGGTACACTTCATATATTCAGTTTTATTTCTACTAATTTTAAACCCTTTTGACTTGATTGTTTCTTTTTTGGTTTCTAATTTTGTGCTAATTCCTTCCTTAGTTACCATCCATGACATGTTAGTTGCCAACAAGAAATAACTTTCACTAAATGATTATTTCCATCAAATTCTCTACCGTTCTTATGTAACTAGTCTACATGGCCCCTGCAATTTTAGTGCTTTACCCATCATCAAATTTTTTGCACTTGCTCGTTAAACCCATGTTTCTTCTTAGTGAAAGTTTGTGTAATGTTATAGTTGGTTATTTGGACTCTTACTATTTTGACACATCACTTCTGACATAATGCATGAATGTTAGAATCTACATGCCTATAATTCTCTGATTGGGTGTCAGTCCCCTTTCATTATATCCTATCTGTGTAGATTATGTCATATTGATATTTAGTTGTGTTATATTTTCTGCACTCAGGTTGTTGGAGTGGAACCTGCAGAAAGGAATGTAATATCTGGAGAAAACCCAGGTGGAAAAATTGTATATAGAAATATTTTCATGGCATTGCTTCTTTCTGCACTGTCACTTTTATGTTTTTGTGTTTTTTTTTAAGATTCCTCACAAAAATAATACATTGTGCAGGTTATATTCCTAGTATTTTGGATGTTAATTTACTTGACGAGGTTTTGAAGGTGATTTTCCCCCTCTCCCTGCCTTCAGTTGTATTCATATTTATTGTCTTATTTTGCCAGAATCTAAACTTAAATGTTTAACTTTTTTCGGAGTGATCATTTCTTTACTTAGGTTCGTTGTTTATAAGAATTGTGAGGTTGGAGATGATGTGATTCACAGAATCAAAGTAGGTTGGCTCAAGTAGAGGAGTGCATTTGGCATATTATGTGATTGATGAATACAAACAGAATTGAAAAGAAAATTTATAGAACAACTATAATGCCGACAGTGCTTCACAGGACAGAGTGTTGGGCAACTAAGAAACATGTGCATCAAATGTGTGTAGCTAAGATGAGAATACTTGGTAAGACTAGAAAAGATAGTATTAAAAGTGAATATATTTGTGAAATGGTAGGAGTAGCATCTATTGAAGATAAGTTGAGAGAGAACAATTTAAGATGGTTTGACCATATACAACAAAGACCTCTAGATATAATGGTGATAAAGAGTGATAAGATCACATGAATGGAGATGCTGTACATTAGAGGGGGAGGGGGAGGGGGAGGGGAAGATCTAAGTTGACATGGAATACGGTAGTGAAAAAATATATGAATTTTTTTAATTTAATTGAGCATACAGTCCTAGGTAGAGGTTAATGGCGAAAAAGAATTCATGTAGTTGACACAAGGCTTTCTTTGGTTATTTACATTTATTTTTCTTTCAATTCTGGCACTGATAATTAGCCTATCCAAAAGTTAGAATAGGAATGACCACTGCATTGCTACATAATTCTATCTTGGCAACCAAAGAGGAGAATGGGAATGAGTATTCCTTTCCATTCTCTGTTCCATTCGATGAAGCATGAATGTTGCCATATAAGTACTGGGTACTAGTACGCGTACCGATACAACTGCACTTGTACTAGGTACGTCATATACGTATTGGGGACATTGTATACGGTCTAGGGAAGTTAGGTATACCATGGGTATGCGGTGGGTACTCCATGGGTATAGGGTGAGTGTGTTGGACTATGTTACACGGACTTGGGTGCGGATGCATATCCAGGGTCGGACATTTCAAAATTAAAAATTGAGGATACGTGGGTATGAATTGGATATGGATATTGGGATACGTTAAATAATTATTTTTTAAATATATTTATTATATGAAGATGAGTTAAAAAAAGTTGTCCCAACAAATTTTTTTTTATAAATATGATAACATATGAATAAGTCATATAACAACTCACGTTATTAATAAAGATGTTGGCCATATACAAAACAATAAAAGACTAAATAAGCCCAAACTTATTTTATTTAGGCCCAAAAAACTATATAAGCCAAAATAAAACACTAAAACTGTAAGACGAAATAGGCCAGATATAAAACACTAAATAGGCCCAAACTTTTATTTTATTTATTTGTGTCTAGTCCATTAGCCAAACCTAGCAAAAATGCTCTCCAGCAGTATATCAACCAGCCAGTCAAACTATCTCTCTCTCTCTTCTCTCTCCCTTTTTCTCCTCTTTCCTCTCTCTGAAATATGCACAGCACAATCGAAGCTAACTCTTCTCTTTCTTCTCTTTCCCACTTGGTGATTATGACTCTCTACTCTCTCTCTCTCCCTCTTGGTTCTAACTCTAGATTATGTGGTTATTGTAGCCAACATTCACTCATCGATGAAGCTATGATTCAACAAATCTAGATCTCGAACCCAACACATCCATGTAAGTATCTTTATCTTCTTCTTCCTTTTCGATTAGCCGTGTCTGAGAGGAGGCGAATCTGACACAGATCCTATACCCGCACTTGTGTCGTGTCGTGTCGTGTCGACATGGGTACTTTGCCTCCAACTGCCAAGTCCATGTAACACAAACGCCTGGCAAAAGCAAAATTTCCAAAATTTTTAAAGGCACCAGAGCAATTCTTTTTTGCACATTTTGAAAAATTAAATAAATTTAGGGTGTTTTGTGATAATAAAAAACATAAACAAATTAGGTTTACAAACATAACTCTCATTTCTCTTCTTCGTTGATGGTCATTCTTGACTCTCATTCGAAGAATAGCATCGGCGATTCAACTCTCCTTCAAATACAACAGTGACGATGAAGCTCAATGTTCCAGTGAGTTTTCTTACCTCCTTTTGTAGCCGATCTCCTATTCTTCGATTCTCTTCTTCTTTTTTTTCTTTTTTTTTTTAAAAATTTTTTAAATTTTTTGTTTCTTTTTTCTTTTTTTAAACATTTATTTCTTTTTATTTTCCCCCACAGCAGCTGGAATTTGATACAAGTCTACAACCTTATTCCTCTTTAATCATCTTTAAAAATAAAAAAAATTAGGTAATGCAGAATCACCCACTGTGTTATTAACTTTGCCCGCTTCTTCTTATTGTTGGATGTTTAGCTGTAAATTTAAAAACATATATATTAGCGTATTCCAGCCGTATTCATACCTTACTTCTTTTAGATTTGGCATATCAGCGTACCCGTATTGTATCCGTACCGGTATTCGTACCCGCACCTGTGCCTAATAGGTTCCGTTCCATTTCAACAAGCATTCCATTCCAACTTATTTTATTCCAATGTACTAAATGTAGTCTTAATGTAAAGCCATTCAATCTTATATATGAGCTCCAAGATAACATTAAAATGTGAGCTCCAACAAGCATTCCATTCCTACCATATTAGCCTTAAAATCTTATTTTACAAACTTTTTTAATCAGCTGGATGGAATTACATAAGGGATTCAAAAATGTCATGGCACCTCTTAGTGGAAATAACATTAAAAAGTGTAGCAAATTTTTCATTAAATGGGTTCTCCGTTCAACTTTGTGTTATGTAGGTTTGCCCTAACCTGACCCATTTAATATTTGTGTTATCGGGTTGTGTCATATGCTCCTAACTCACGAATTTTATGTACGGTTTGAATCGTGTTATCGTGTCGTGTCGAAAATTCCCACCCTTAATTTGAAGGAGCAGGCCTCTTGCGCTTTCCTGGGTGGAGTCTGTATTTACAGTGCCGTGACCAACATCACTTTTGTGCCACATGATCTTCAAGCATATAATAAATCATATGCATTTGATATTTTGGTTTTTTTGGTAGTCAGTACTTACGTTTGTTAGTATAATTATCTGGACAATTTAATATGAACATTTATTTAATTGGAAAATGTAGATTACCAATGATGAAGCTGTTGAAATGGCAAGAAGGTTGGCATTGGAGGAAGGTTTACTGGCAAGTATTTTCAATGTTGAACTGTTAAAGAAGTTTTGTTCATTTTTACTTCTCCTTTATCACCAGTATTCTCAATGTTGAACTGTTAAATTAGTTTAGTTCATTTTTACTTTTCTTTATCGACAGTTTACTGTTAAATGTTTTGCTGAGAAATTGATTCACCTTATAGCTGTAAGCTGTAAATGATTTTTATTTTATTTTTCCAATCTGCACTAGGAAAAGAATGAGTGGCATGCCCACCATAGAAAAATGAAAAAGAAAAAGAAAAAGAAAGAGCAATTGAGTTGTAGTGGTGTCTTCTTTCCTCAGGGAATTATAATTTCTGGACCAGTGAGTCCAAAAACTAACACTGTAAACTAGTCAAATTTCCCATGAACTTGTTCAAGCCTACAATTAGTTTGTTCGGACTTGGGACTGTTAAGTCACCAATTTTTCCAAAAGCCTAAGCTATGAATCCCAACTGTTAATGATTACTATGCTGTGGTTGGTGTGCGTTTGTGTGTTTGTAGCCTGTTTGTTTGGGCACAAGGGATGAAGGAAAAGAAAAGGGATTAGAGAAAGGAGGAACATGCCCCTTTCCACCTAGGCCCACAAGATTCCATCTCCTTAAAACTGGCAGAGGAGACGAGGGAAAGGGGCTCCCCCCTTCTTTTTAAATGCAAATTTATGATGTTGCCCCTAAAAGTTGGTTAATGTTTATAAAGCGAGGGTATAACCGTAAAACGACATAAAATGCATTTCCTTTCTCTTTTCTATTCCGTCCTAGTAAATAGAAATAAGGAAACCCACCTACGGATACATTTTCCTTCCCTTCCATTTTCCATCCATCCAATTAAGCAAACAATGAAACCAACCCCTCCCCTCCCATGGCAAAAAACAAAGAAAAAACGGAAACTGGACTGATTTTATTCCAAAATTGGGGTTGATGAGATCTTAATCGAAACTTGTGGCACCTTTCCAAGCAAAGGTCCATCCAAGTGCTACACATGCATAATATCTTGAAAAAAAATCTCGTTCTGGGACTTTCCAAACAGCTTCTTTGTTTTTAATCTTATCTCCATTTGTATCTCCTGTCTACCACAAGATTACTGTATACTTGCAGAAGCTATGTTTCTTGGTTGCTGGTTACTTCAATTTTTTTTAGATTGAACTTGTTCCAGGTTGGTATATCATCAGGAGCTGCAGCTGTTGCTGCCGTAAACATGGCAAAAAGGCCCGAGAATGCTGGAAAACTCATTGTTGTGAGTTTTTTTTCTTTTTCTTTTCTTCTCTCTGTTTGTATATGCATGTAGGTGCATGCATGATTGTGTGTTCTGCAAAATATTAGTAAAAAATCCATGAAAACCATGCAAATGCATCAAAAACATTATTATTTTATATGGCGACACAAGTTTCTTTTATTACTTTTGAGTTACTTAGCATTGTGATTCTTTTGTTATTTCTGAGTTACAATTGTAATTTTTTGACTTATGTTTCATCGAGCTAATTATTGTGATTGATTTCAACAATACGAGTAGTAGTGCAGAAGGTAGGCAACTATGTCAGAGTTGGAAACTTTGTTCTTTTGCTTTCCACATCCAATCGCTTAATGCTGGTGGAAGAAAGCAGGATTTCCTTTGGACTGGTATTGGAGAAGAATTAAAGTACAATTTGGTGGATTGGGGGCTTGCAATCCTATATGAAGGTGGACTGGGAATTAGGACATTTGAATTATTTAATTGAACTCTTTGGGGATGTGGCTTTGGAGATTTGCAGCGGAAAAGGATACATTCTTACCATTGTTAATATGATTTGTAGGCAACATGCAATGGTGAGTTGATGCTGTCCTTGTGGTGTAGAACCAGAGAAGGAAGATGGAAAGAAGAGGAAAGAAAGAGAGAATGTAGAAATTCTTCTGAACCTCCAATAAATTTCATTACCCTCGAGCCTTGTATATGAGCAGACCAAATTAAATTGACAATCCAATATGTAAGTGAAAAAAAAAAAAAAACTGTCTAATAAGGAAACAAAGACAATAGAAAAGCAATCCTATTAGAACTATAACTCCTGAATAAACTAAAATTTAATCTCTTCACTTTATTCTTCATCTAATGTCTTTTCAATCTCATAATTTCTCGTCAGTTGAAAGAAAATAGTGACAGTAAAAGTACCCAAGAGATGTAGTGCATGGTGAGGAAATACTTCCTCAATCTGGATAGCATGTAAGAATTGTACTACCTTAATCCAGATAATAGCAAAACAAGCTTACATTCTCATGTAGTGTTAATGATCACCAAGAGAAAATCTCTAATTTGGTCTCCATAAAATGTGAGTCCCATGTTCTAGTAATCCCAATCCCATGTTACAATCCACATGATCAAACAGACCTAAAAGCTCTAGTGATGGAAGAGTGGTGTACTACCCATTGTTAACAATGTACTATCATGAATTCTTATATAGTTATTTTTATGCAAGTGCCTCATAGGGTGGGCATGGATTAAGTTGGTTTGGGTTAGAGCCAAACCCAGAATTCAACCGACAACCACCCTTGGCTGGTTCCAGAATTTTGGACCCAAAACCAAACTGACCGGAATCAAGCCAACCCAACCTGACTTAATTCAGGTTGGTTTGGATTGGTACCGTGGTTCCACCTTAATTTATTCATTTTCTAATTACTCATTATAAATGAAATTTTAGGAAAATAGTTTGTAGAAAATCTAATATAACATGATTGTGTGCAACAAAGTGTACTATGATAAATTGTCACAATCAATTATATGAATACATATATAATTTTGTAATATATAAGTGTGTGTCTGTGTGTGAGCAGTTCTTGGGTTGGTTCAGGTTAGCCCGATGCCAACCCAAAAAGCAAACCAACCTAGTTAGGTTGGCTTTTTTGGGCTAGGTTGATGTTAACCCAAAAACCAAGCCAACCTGGTTGGGTTGGTTTGGTTCATATGGATTTTCCAAGTAGTTTGCCCACCTCCTCATGAGCAGGCTTGAGCATTATCAGCATGGTGTTGTAATGTGAAGAAGATCTGCCTACTCTGGTAACCATTTTAATAGGCAGTTATTCTAGAAGTGTGAGCTGATAGTAAATGGTGTCTTAGTTGTAACATCAATACTTATTTGGCTATGATTCTTGAAAATTTATGCTTTTTTAACTGATAAATGAGCTTGAACCTCTCTTAAGACCCTGCTGTAAAGTGGGAGCCTTTTGCACTAGATACGACCTTTTCACGCATACATTTATTCTTCAAATGGAATCGTTGGGAATGAATATCTATCAGATTATTGTATGCTAGTATACTTACCATTAACACAAATAAATCATTTAATATTTTCTCTGCTGATTTCCACTTTCTGACTAGTCCAACTCTTTTGTGATGATACAGGTTGTATTTCCAAGCTTTGGTGAGAGGTATATTTCCACTGTTCTTTTTCAGTCTATTCATGATGAAGTCAGAGAAATGCAACAAAGATAGTGTTCAACTTTGCTCACTTTTTTCATTTAAAAGGTAAGGTGTTAGCAACGTTTTTAAGGTTACCCATTGTTGTAGCGAGGTGACTTATTATTAATTGACATATATCTAAAAGTGCAAATTTTTATGTCAAGGCACATTAATCCAGAGATAGCTTTCGATGGAATGAGAAAGACTGTTGTTTGATCAAAGTGTTGATGAGAATGTTGTTCAAGTTCTGGTTGCCAATGAGCTGCTTTTACCATGCGCTTTCGTTCATTGTGTGGCAAAGAATTAGACATAAAGAGGTGAAGAGTCGGCTTTCAACAACGGAGTCGATCTAGCAGAAAGTTGTATATTATGCTAATAGTGATACATTTGCAAAGAGTTTGAATCCATACTCTTATTGATGAATTAGAAGATTTTGACATCATTTGTTTCAATGGAAATTACTTCCGGGTGGAGAACTCGAATTCTCAGTTTAAGGGAAAATTTTCTGGTAGGAAGAGGAAAAATTTGCAAAAAATTCTGATATTTTCACATTGTTTTTAGTTGCTGCTTCAATTATTATTTTTGCCATATATGTTTCATTGGATCTCAAATTGCAAAGCTTAAATTTTGGTACAAATAGTTGGGTTATCACCAACTGTGTTTGGGAAGTCAGACTCATGCCCATTAATTTTGGGCCACTGGTTTCTCACAACTATGCCTTTGGTGGGCTTGTGGCTGAGAGCCAGCTGACTTGAGGAGCACTAGGGATCTTATGCTTATGGTCACACCCAATTCGGGTGGGTTTGGTGGGTAAGTGTAGAGGGGTCTGTCCAAGCTCAAGAGATCGGGTTCGGACTGGGTGTCTAAGTTTAACTCCAATAATATCTTTTGATTATTTTGTTTGTACTTTTTTAATCATTTTTTTTCAAAATTCCAAAAGAATGCATGGGGTGTAACTCTTTCAATCAAAACTTTAAATTTTATATCTTGTGTTTGTGTTTGAATCTTAAATTTTATACAAAATTCTTTATAAAAGTGATGTGGCAGTGACAACTTTATAATTAAAAATTAGTTTAATGGGCATTTTAATTTAAAATAACAAGTGTTATTGCAGCTATGTCATTCTGTATACATTTTCTATTTTTTGTAGCATCATTTATTGTACCAATTAACAAAATTTTTTTATCCACACAAGTCGTTACTATTGACAGTTTTTAATAAAGATTAGAGAGACACTAAAATGAATTGAATTAATCACACACAATGACACAGATTTACGTGATTTATCCATAATAGAGTTACATTCACGATCGTTGCAGTTTCACTACCCCCAATTTGACCCATAGTTCATATTCAATACTTGTCAGGAATTACAATACCCAATAGTTTGCTTCACAATTAACTTGGTGAATTGGTTCAAACCAATTTATTAACATAAAATCATGAAAGGTGTCAAATGAAACTTGGCCTTTTAAAGGGATCAAAGCAAATTATGTTCTTAATTTGTAAGGGTTGTGAATCTATTTTTCTTATTTTATTTTTTTGGTCATAGTTCACAAGAAAAATGTTGGTGTCTAGCCTAGCAAATTAAGATAATAAATTATGGCCGAACATATAGATGAATGTGTTTTCTAGAAAACAAGTGTCATTATCTCTTTTAATTATTATTAATATAAAAATAAAAAGTGGAGCAATCTTTTCAAAACCCATATTAATGCATGGAGATATAGTTGGTGAGGTGGGACAGAGGTTGGCCGGGGATCATCTTCATAAATATTGCAATTATTTAAGTTGTTTTTACTTTTTAATTTCCCAAAAACCAATGTCTAGTTGGATTGAACTTGGACACACCAGAATCTCATTTATAAAATTTTAGGTTGTGTTTAAAACTTAAATTTGAGAAAGAAAAAAAAAAAATCTTCTTTTTTACTCTCTTCACAAAATTTTCTACAAATTTAAAATTCAAATAAAACTGTTAAAGATATCAAGAAAAAGATAACTAAGACAGCCACTTATCGAAATATTAAAATAGATAAAATTGACAAGAAAATATTTTATTTCATTATTGGTTAGGTAAAATTCCATGCCTTGAAAAAAATAAAAATAAATTAGAGAAAGTACTACATGTGCTATTTTCTAAGTAGTTATCCATATCAAAAATGCCTAAGACCCCCAGTGAGGGTCACTGGGGGTCATGAATGGAGGCTTCCCATTGGTCAAAAAAAAAACTGTTTTTTTTTTTTTTTTTTTTTTGTGATTTGGACGAATGGCACGCTGCCACCTCACTGGGGGTCGACCCCCAGTGGGGGTCTGTAGCAAAGTCCTTATCCATATATACAAACAAATTAGGTTTAGCAAGAACTCTTACAAAGCCAAAGGGATGGTTGTATGTTTGATGTGTTGCATCTTACTGTACCTATAATTTTATATTTTTAATGAAATTTTTATTTTGCTGATTAAAAAAAAAAAGAACTCTTACAAAGCCATGCAAAACTAAGGAGGTACCATTGACAACTTTACTCAAGTTGTCTAAGGTTTCGAGTTTGAGTTATTTTAAGGAGTGATTAGAGATTTATCTAATTATTAATTTCAGGATTAATCAAAGTATGCATAAATTAACCGAATACTTGATAAAAAATTTACAAAAAAAAAATGCGCCTAACAATAGTTATGATCACCGGAAGTTGTTTGGAATAAACTATATAAGTACACTTTTTGACTTTTTGACTAAAAAAATAGAGAAAAAAATATGATTGTTTGGGATAACTTTTTGACTTTTTACAAAAAAAATGTGTATTAAAATATTGTATGAAATACCAAAATTACATTCCTACCCTTCTGACAGTGCACTGGGCACTTGTCACTTTCCCTCTCACAGTGCACTGAGTTGCACTAGTGCATTGTTTGACTCTCTTTTTTTCCCTTAAACAGTAATGAGTTGTGCATGTCAGTAAAGGGCAAAAATGTCTTTTTGTCCTCTGAGTATTCAGCCCCATTTTCCTGCCCAAACATTGTGAATAGTATAAACATTTTTACTTTTTTAGTGATTTTTTGACTTTTTATTTTTTTTAAATGATGCCAAACAAATACCATGTTGCATAAAGGTTTCAAGGCGTGTGAGCATATGAGAAACAAAAAAATTATTTAATAATTATTTTTCTTTTACATCATTTAAGAGTTTTGGTTCAATAATTATTTAATTAATATATATGGAACAAAAAATTATACGTACATCGAAATTAATTGGGACAAATTCCGAACACTCCTTCAAATTACCTAATATATATAGAACATGAAAATTATATATACTCAAGAATCAATAGAGGCAAATTTTGAATACCATTGTGATTTAAAGAAAAGGTAAATCACACTAACCTCTCTTAGAACTTGAAAAAACGTCTCACAAGTTTAGGATAATTACGTTATATTCTCTCAAGATTTTAATTTATATAGTTGTATTTTCATTATTAATTCATTAGTCAATTACAAAGAAAAATGATATTATTATCTCTTTTATACGAAAATATATATTTTACCTCACTATCTGGGTTAGTCCCGACTATTTTAGTCTTACTAAAAGAGAGATGGATGTAAATATATCAAAACTATCCAGCTTACTATTTTTTTTTTTTTTACTCCAAATGTGGAGAAAAATCAGTGTCATATATCCAAAAGAAAAGAAAGAGAAAGAGAAAGAATCAATGCTTCGCGAAAAGCAAATACACGACCCAGGTGAGAATTGTAGCATGGGACATCACCAAATGGTCACGTCTCTTCACGCAAGCTGTGTATGCATAGGAAAAAGCTTGAACAAAGTTTATTTTTTATTTTTTTTGGAAAATTATAATTCAACATAAGTCTAATAAAAAAAATTCAGATCAATGGTAAACTTTAAATATTAACAATTAAAATCTTATTTTTTTTAACGAATTTGTAATTATTTTTTAAAAATATCACTTAATTGTAATTTCTCGCTATTTTTTTTTTCTCCCCCTTCCTGTGGGTCTAACTCTCATGTTATTCAGACATTGGGGTTTTGGCCTATTAGTCTAGTAACTACATCTTAAGATATGGTGAAAAAGAGATCAGAAGTTCAAACTGATAGAGTAACGACAAACCTTTTTAGCTTTCAAAGAGTAACACTAGCTCAATTTGGCAACAAGCTAAAAAGGTTAATTTTTTGGCTTTTTAACTTTTTTATCCAAAAAAGCCAATTTTTTTGCCAAAAAAATTATCAAAAAAGTCAAAAAAACTAAAAATTTAACTTTTTATCAATTTCTCAAAACAATACACTACGTCTCTAAGCATATTTTGTCATTTTCAAAGTTACTTGACCTAGTAGGAGACTGCAATGAAAGGACATTTATGAAAAAATGTTATCAGTTCCCAAGGTATAGTCGTAGTGTATTATTGGCATGAAACATATTTTCTTTTATACAGAACTGTTGATTAAATTGATGTATCAGTCCTATTGTCAAACTTTAAGCTACTCTTACGAGTCTGTTGTTTTAAAAATAAAATCAACCTTCGTTGTCATTTTGTAATAATTTTTATATAAATTTTTTACAACAATGATTTATCCCACTAATTTAGGAGTACTAATGGACCACTAATGAGGTGGAAATTTAAAAAAAAAATAAGAGCAAAACATCACATCATATGAAACCCACATCACTTTAAAGTTATTAGTGTTCTTCTTTTTAGTGGTCTCACTCATTTTTAAAATTTTTTATTTGTGTAAGTATCGATGGTAAGATGAATGTTATTTAAGTATAACTCGTTTGGTGCATCTTGCAAGATGATTATCACATTTTCACTTTGAAAGTCTTTATGCAATTGTTGTTCACAATTTATGAGAAAAAACAATTTAAGCGAGCTAAAAAAAAAATATTATTAAGAAGCTAGGTGAATGATGCTTTTTCAATCAATAAGGTGGCACGCTAAAATAAATTTTTTATTTGTGTAAAATAGCATTCTAGTAAGTATCGATGGTAAGATGAATGTTATTTAAGTATAACTCGTTTGGTGCATCTTACAAGATGATTATCACATTTTCACTTTGAAAGTCTTTATGCAATTGTTGTTCACAATTTATGAGAAAAAACAATTTAAGCGAGCTAAAAAAAAAATATTATTAAGAAGCTAGGTGAATGATGCTTTTTCAATCAATAAGGTGGCACGCTAAAATATTTTTAATTGATTCACAGTAAAGTTATGGAAGTTTGGTTCTCCTCAACTGATAGGGTTGTAAAGAATTCAGTTGGTCAGTGTTGAGAGAAAGCTTAGCAACAAATTGAATCTTTCAGTTGTGATGGTTGAATAATCTACACCGACTGTATGCTAGGTATGATTTTGTCGATTTTGTTAGTTTTGTGTAGATGAATGATTTACATGAGATTTTAAAAGATTTTATAAAAACTTGTGGAATTTCATAATGAGAATAAATGAAGAAAAGGTATGAAAATTGCTCTATATATAAATATCTCCCTCAGTTTTTATCACAAAAAAGTATTATATTGGTTATTTATCTTCTAATGTTCAAAGAATTAATTTGTTCAGTTCATTTGCATCAGCATAAAAAATCTTAAAA